GATTTAACAATATTTAGATATTTGGACTAAAAACAAGACAAATAAAGTAAGAAAAGCATTAATACTGAGGGTCAAATTTAAGTACATCAGTACAGTCTCTTGTTTGGTGCATCCTTCATTCCTACTTCCATGTGGTTTATTTGGAAATTTACTCTTTCCATCGACCTATTTTTTATAACATTTTTATTGTTTTTAGCATAAGAAAATAAACAATAACATAAACAGAACAAAAAAAGAGACAGAAAGTAAAGGGTACAAAGGTGTTTCAAAATACACAAATAGTCGGACACAACATAATACAATATCATCCAGAAAGCATAAGGAAATAATTAGAATTAAATATAAAACAATAATAATTTACAGAGAAATGTGTAGGCTCCACAACTCAACTTATGCCAAACCAATCCCACCTATAAAGAGTTACAAGCCAGCATTACTGAAATAAAACATAACTGAATTCCAGATTTTAAAAGATGTGTTTAGTTCGTCTGCCATCCCGTATCGCATTTCTTCCATGGTCAACACAGAACTCCTAATCCAAGTTTCAAAGACAGACACATAATCTGACTTTAAATTCTGTCAAATTATATTCTTTGCTAAAATCACACACAAAAATACTGCCTGCGATATCTAGCTCCTATTTCTGGTGACAGATCAATCCTGGATACTTCAGATATGAAATTAAAAATGCTCTGCCAAAATCAACTAATTTTATTGCATGACCAGAGTGAGTGAGCCAGTGTACCTTCAGAGCTTTTGTTGCACAATAAGGAAACATTTGGGAAAATCTTTTGTAATTTTACTTTTGAATAATGAAGTCTGTGGATAACTTTGAATTGAATCAGCACCTGCCTATTTTTAAGCATATTTTGGCAACATCACATTAATGGAAATGCTAAGATGTGCAAAAATTTTGAAAATGTGCATGAAAAAAAAAGTGAGTTGGATAAACAAAGAAAAACATGCATAAAAGTGCATCGCATTCATTGCGTTTAGTCTTCATTTACTAAGACGCAACTCATTTATTAGAGATTGTAAAAAACAAACAAAAAAACAACAACATTTCTCTGTTTAATATTTGCTCCATTTTATCCAAAAATGTCGATTTTGCTGCTCTCTTTGATTCATTGGATGAAAACTCTGCTTTATTCACAAATGTTTTAACCAGTTAAGCTTTGGGGCTATTTGGGGTAATTCCACCTGAATTTGGCCTTCCGATTTAAAAAGCTTCTAATGAATAATCAATAATCTCCCTTGTATGTTTACAAAATACGAGTTTATACTTTATGATTCATTCGAAGACTGTTGGACATGTGATTGTAAATCAATAAAAATAATGATTGATCCTTAATATTGGGAATGAGAGCTTTAATTTGATGTAATACTTGCCAATGTGTGTCTAATATTAGCGATGTGAAAGATTTGCATACTGAACAACGTACAGTATTTGAGATGTAAATAACTTCGTTACCGTACAACAAATATCAAAGTGATGTGTATGAGTTGGAAATAGACATTCTAAGCTTTGACCCAATAGGTGATATGGTGTTAATGATGCTGACAGACCTCTTAAACCTAGAGTTATTCTCCCGATGACATCATTTTGTCCCTGGTACCGGGCACGCAGAGTTTAACTGGTTCAGCGATATTCCAGTTTTGCGCATAAGTCTAAATTCACATCTGATGATACTAATGATACTAATGACTAATATATACTAATAACTAATGATACACTGTAAAAGATTATATGACAAAAAGTCATAAAGACATATAAAAAAAAAACATAATAAAAAGTCATTAACCGCATTTAAATAAGTTCATCAGATTTCAACGACATGTTTTTGGTTTTAACAAAAGGAGATATTTTGAAAAATGTCATAAACTGGTAACCACTGACATCCATAGTGGAAAAAACTTACTATGATGGTAAATGCGGTTTACAGCGGAATGAACCGCCAACTTATCCAGCCCATTTTTACGCACCGGATCAGCCACAACCCATCTCTGGGAAACATCCACACACACACTCATACACTACGGACAATTTAGCCTTCCCAATTCACCTGGGACTGTGGAGGAAACCGGAGCACCCGGAGGAAACCCACGCGGGGAGAACATGCAAACTCCACACAGAAACGCCAACTGAGCCGAGGATCAAACCAGCGACCTTCTTGTTGTGAGGCGACAGCATTACCTACTGCGCCACTGCCTCGCCCCTTTTGAGTTCATTAGATAAACTCATTCATTCTCCTTCGGTTTAGTCCCTTTAATCATCAGGGGTCACCACAGCGGAATGAACCGCCAACTATTCCAGCATATGTTTTCACGCCTTTCAAACGCAACCCAGCACTGGGAAACACCCACACACACTCATTCACACACATATACTACGGCCAATTTAGTTGATCAATTCCCATATGCGCATGTGTTTGGACTGTGAGGGAAACCGGAGCACCCAGAGGAAACCCACGCCAACATGGGAGAACATGCAAACTCCACACAGAAACGCCAACTGACCAGCTAAGACTCAAACAAGACCTTTTTGCTGTGAGTGCTGGAAGGGCATCCGCTGTGTGAAACATAAGCTGGAATAGTTGGTGGTTCATTCCACTGTGATGACCCCTGATAAATAAGCGACTAAGCCGAAAGAAAACGAATGAATGAATGAATTACTGAGGTTAATATTTAGGTGGAGATTGAGCACATCAACACAGTCTCCTGTTTAGTGGATTCATAATTTCAGAGACGCCGGTCTCTGTTTTGTTTTTACACTTGCGATAAATAGGACAATGTCCAAGTCCCTCTCTCTCCAGCAGAATGTTCAATTAAGTCATATTAAGCAGCAATAATAGTTGAAACAAGTGTACTTTGTTTAAACTAATATCATATCTCATTTCTGTTGTGTTTTGTATGGAGTCAGGCTGATTCTATGCTGAATTTTACTTTTTTTTTTGTCTTGTTTCTAGTCCAAATATCTTAAAGTTCTTAAATCAAGAAGCATTTTCTGGACAAGTAAGAAATAAATTCTTGTTTTTTTTTTTTTTTTAAATATGCCAAAATTAGGTTAGTTTTTTTATTAATAATCTGCCAATGGGGTGAGAAATAATCTTGTTTTTCCTTTTGACATTAGATTATTTTTCTTACTCCAGATTATTCAGCTCGTTTTAAGGAAAAACTCACTTAATTTGGGCATAATATTTCTGAAAACAAGACACTATGGGCCCTATCATACACCCGGCGCAGTGTGGCGCAAGGCGCGGTGCAGTAGTCTTTTGGTAGTTTCAGCTTGGCGCAAGAGTGGTTTTGAGGCGTTGCGCTACGCTGTTTAAATAGCAAATGCATTTGCGCTCATATGTGTGTCCATAGGCGTTCTGCTCTAAAAAGGAAGGTGTTCTGAGGCGGACCGCTGGCGCGTCGCTATTTTGAGAAACTATAATAGATTTTTCATTAGACCAAAACTAACACGGTCTAAACTCCAGCGCAGAGTTGCGCCTCGCTTACACACTGCTTAATACACACAAGAGAGCAATAGGCAAATATCTCTTCATATGAAAAAAACTAAATATTAGGGATTTATATAGGATATAATAAGAATAGATATAGAATATAAATATAAAGGATTAAAATATTACAAAACATATTATTTTCTAGCCTACATAAATATGAAAAATCACTGCTTTTATGTCTTCTTCATCTCGGGAGGCTTTTTCAGTTCATTCATAACAATCTGCTTTTGTATAATGTTATTATTATTAGCAGTATTATTTATTATATCCATATTTATATTTGTTTTATTAAAACCAAGCTTAGATTTGCCCACATGCAGGTTTTAGATCATTTGGGCGCAGCATGTGTTTTAGGATATAACTCAGGTTTTTGAGCACATTTTGTTATTATTGTTCATTTATTCGTTTGCTGGAGATTAGAACTGAATTTAGAAATAGTTTTGAAATGAATATTTGCGCTTAACAAACTAAATTAATTATTTATAGGCTAATTAATGTCTGTGTGTAAAGGTTTCCCTATCCAAGAGCGAAAGTGAAAGTAGATCATTTATCTCTCATTGTCACGCAGTAGATGCTCTGTTTAACTGTGTTCTGTTAACTGTTTGCTTGTGAAATGCTCAGTTTTTCCACTTAGACTTACTTTGCGTCCTGTAAATAGTGAATGCGCTCTTGGCGTGACGCAGCTGGCTCTTAAAGGGAATGGGAGATGAGACTCTAATTGGTTTATTCTCAAAACACACCAATAACTCATTAAGAAAATAAACTCAACCCTTTTAGACCATGCGCCACGGCGCAAAGCAGATTTCCCGCCCTTAATTAGCAAAAATGCGTTCTGACACGCCCTGACAGCGTTTGCGCCCTGCGATTTACGCTCTGCGCATAGACCGTCAAAATAGAGCCCTGTGTGTTACTTGTCTAAAAAATGCTTCCTGATTTAAGATTATTTAGATATTCGGATTAAAAACAAGGTCCCACTTTATATTAAGTGTCCGTAACTATTATGTACTTGCATTAAAAAAAAATACAATGTACTTACTGTGTTCATAATGTGTTTGAGAACACTTGTGGTGCTCTTGAGTTGGGATAGGGGTTGGGTTATGGACAGGTTTGCTGGTATGGGTAGGTTTAAGGGTGGGTTAAGGTGTAGGCAATTGTCAGCAGTGTATTTAAAAAAGTTAACTACAGATGTAATTACATACAGGTATTTAATCAAGCATAAGTTCACAATACATACATGTATTTACACTATAAGTACATTGTAACAAACTATTAATTCCTATGCAAGTACATATTAGTTAAGGCCACTTAATATAAAGTGGGACCAAAAACAAGACAAATAAAGTAAGAAAAGCATTAATACTGAGGGTCATATTTAGACTCAAGTACATCACAGTCTCTTGTTTAGCGCATCCTTCATTCCTTCTTCTATATTATTTATTTGACACTTGCGATAAATAGGTCAGCGTCTAAATCTCTTTTCTCTCTCTCCTGCAGAAGAGTGAAGTGATGAAGAGGACTGGAAGTCGCTCGTCTCTGACCCCGCACAATGAGCTGTAACGTGACGGCAGCCGACAGACGCCATCATGGAAATGTCACGGCCAACATCAGAGAGCTCGCCAGCCTCCTCTTTCATTCCCTTAATCCACAATCCCTCCTCTCCTCATCTCTCCATACATATTCAGCAGCTCAAGTCTTCACCATTCTAATGAGGGCTCGACCGGCGTGCTATGAAAGAGAGCGCAGAGAGAGAGGGATATATATATAAATATATACGGGGAGGTGGGCGGACGGATGGATGGGGCTTTAGACCAGAGCAGAGAACGACTGTCTTTGAACTCCGAAAGAGAAAGACGGATGACAGATGAGGATGAATAGAAGGATGCTGATGAGAGAAGGAGCGAGAGATCAATGCTGAACAATCTGTACAGCGGGGTTAGTCGTGTTGCGTTTAAATGCTGCTTTAAAGTCGACGTGCAATCAAAAATTACAATGTGTATTTGGCTAGCGCAAATTGTTATTGTTTAGGTCAACTATTAATCTGCGCGAAAAGGTTGTTTAGGTAATTAAAGAACTGAGACTCCAATCAAATTCTGTTGGCGTGAACTTAAGGGCTTCCATTGCAACTGGTAATTCATATTTATAGCCACGCCCCTCTTATTAGCAACTGTGCGTTAATATTCGTAGCCACACCCTTCTTATTTGTTACCTGAAAAAAATGATGCACAAAAAGAAAGCTCCGCCCTCTACTGAATATTCAATTTCAGTTGGAAGCACATCAACATACTGAAATAAAAGTCTAAGCAACTTCCCATTCACACTTTAAAGTGCGCGTGAAATGAAAAATTTGAATATTTAATTGGCTAGCGCACATTGTTATTTTTTAGGTGAACTATTAATCTGTGCTAAAAAGTCGTTATGGTAATAAAGGATTTGATTTGAGTCGCAGTTCTTATGTTGACGTCAATTTAAGGGCTTCCATTGGAACTGGTGAATCATATTTATAGCCACGCCTTTCTTATTAGCAGTTGTGCATTAATATTTGTAGCCACACCCCTCTTATTAGTTACCTATAATGGAATGATGCACAAAAAGAAAGCTCCGCCTCCTACTTAATATTCAGTTTCAGTTGGAAGCACATCAACATACTGATAAAAAAAAAAGTCTCAGCAAATTCTGGTTCACGCCGACTTTAAAGTTCACGTGAAATCAAAAATGTAACTATTTATTTGCTAGCGCACATTGTTATTGTGTAGGTGAACTTTTAATCTGTGCAAAAAAGTCATTTTGGTGATTAAGGCTTTGATTCGAGTCGCAGTTCTTATGTTGACGTCAATTTAAGGGCTTCCATTGCAACTGGTAATTTATATTTAAAGCCGTGCCCCTCTTATTAGCAACTGTGCATTAATATTTGTATCCACACCCCTCTTATTAGTTACCTATAATGGGATGATGCACAAAAAGAAAGCTCCGCCCTCTACTTAATATTCAGTTGGAAGTACATCAACATATTGAAATAAAAGTCTCTGCAACTTCTGGTTCACGCGGACTTTAAAGTTTCCATGAAATCAAAAATTTAAATAGGAGTTTTGCTAGCGCACATTGTTATTGTTTTGGTTGAACTATTATTCTGTGCGGAAAAAGTAACTTTGGAAATTGATGATTTCATTTAAGTAGCAGTTCCTATGTTGACGTCTACTTAAGGGCTTCCATTGCAACTGGTAATTTATATTTATAGCCACGCCCCTCTTTTTAGCAACTGTCCGTTAATATTTGTAGCCACACTCTCTTACTAGTTACCTATAATGGAATCATGCACAAAGAGAAAGCTCCGCCCCTTACTGAATATTTATTAGGAAGTACATATTGAAATAAAAGTCTCAGGCAACTTCTAGTTCACGCTGACTTAAAGGTCGGCGTGAAATCCAAAAATTTAAATATGAATTTTGCTAGCGCACATTATTATTGTTTAGGTGAACTATTAATCTGTGCGGAAAAAGTCGTTTTGGTGATTAAGGATTTGATTCGAGTCGCAGTTCTTATGTTGACATAGATTTAAAGGCTTTCATTGCAACTGGTAAGTCATATTTATAGCCACGCCCCTCTTATTAACAACTGTGCATTAATATTTCTAGCCACACCCCTTTTATTAGTTACCTATAATGGAATATTGCACAAAAAGAAACCTCCCGCCCCCTACTGAATATTCAATTTCAGTTGGAAGTACATCAACATACTGAAATAAAAGTCTCTGCAACTTCTGATTCACACTTTAAAGTGCGCGTGAAACCAAAATTCACAATGTTTATTTTGCTACCGCACATTGCTATAGCTTAGGTGATCAATTAATCCGTGCAAGTTAATCCACTGAAAAAAAAAGTTTGATTAAATATTTCCAAAACAAATTACATTTATTTTATTTATTTATAAAAAAAATGCAAAAACAATGGCACAAATATTCAGTCAAATTAATGCAAAATTACAACATCTCACCTGCTTCAAAAATGCTGTATGATATATTCATATATATATTTTCCTTCACTAATCGCATCATAGATTTGTACATCGGCGCATCACTAGTTCAAAGCCTCAAAAAGCAGCAGTTTTAGCAGGAACGGCGGCAGTCTGAGCGTATATCTGCTGAAATGAATGCGACGGTGGTGTGAAATTGGCCATTTTCAGCACTCCTACACTCTTGTAAAAGTAGCAGAGGGTGCCTGAGGTCTATTTCCCCCTCGTCTCACACACACACACACACACACACACACACACACACACACACACACACAGTGAGCAGCGGGACGCAGGAAGACTCGCTGGACTCAAGGGAAACTTCCCACTCTCCGCTTTACAATCCAGATGTTTGATGGCCTGAATCAGCTTCTTAACAGAGCGATGTCTTCACACTGTACAGAGATCCATGAAGACATTAGTGTGTTCTGATCATGTGTGTCCCGACTACTGTCCACCGCTGTGTGTGTGTGTGTGTGTGTGTGTGTGTAGTTTGATAACAGAAGCTGCTTTGAGGCTCACAGAGGTTTGGGGATTCACCTGCACACACACATGGACTCACAAGCACTTAACGCATACACACACACACACACACACACACACACACACACACACACACACACACACACACACACACTCGCATGCGCATACACATGAACATGCATACACTCACACAAGCACTCAAAACACACACGACGTGCAGAGTCACATGTGTACACTTGTGCAAACATGCATGCAAGCACACACTCTCACACACACGCATTCAAAAAGAATTCAGAATTCAAAAACGCGCACACACACTCGCACATTGAAGCACACACAAGCATGCAAACACACTCAGAAAAGCATTCAAACACACGCACACACACACACACTGCACACACACACACACACACACAAACACACACACACAAAGCATGCACACACACTCGCACACTGAAGCACACACAAGCATGCAAACACACTCAAAAAAGCATTCAAACACACACACACACACCGCACGCACACACACACACACAAAGCATGCACACACACTCGCACACTTAAGCACACACAAGCATGCAAACACACTCAGAAAAGCATTCAAACACACGCACACACACACACACACACACACACACACTGAAGCACAAAAAGGCATGCAAGCACACATAAAAGCACTCAAACACACACACATACACACACACGCACAAGCATTCACACACATGAATCAAAAAAAAAGCACTCACACAGACACACGCACACACAATCAAGAAAGTACTCAAACACACACACACACACACACACCCACGAAAACACTCAATCGTGCACACAAATTTACACTCACGCATGCACATGTACACACACACTCATGAAAACACTCAAACATTCACATGCATGCATGCACAGGTGCACACACTCACAAAAGCACTCACAAACACTTGCGCACACACACTCATGAAAGCATTCAAATATGAACACAGATGCACACAGTCAAGAAAGCACTCAAACACACACACTATCAAAAACTGTCAAGCGCACACACACACACACACACACACACACACACACACTCAGTCATGCAGAAACTCACATATGTGCTCAAACATGAACATTCACATGTCACAGTCACACGCTTATACACATACACACTCCTGCAAGCACTTACATGCATGCTTGCACGCACACACACACACGTTGGGTTTTCATCTTTCATACACTCTCCCCACAGCTGACCTTTAGACTGTAAACACTGTATATTCCCTCGCCCTGCCCCAAAACTCAACCCTCACAGGACACACTCTGCACTTTACATTCTCAGAATACTTCATTCAGATTTAGGGGACATTATCCTCATGGGGACCAAACAAATGTTAAAATGTACTCTCATTGGGTTTCCCCCACAGTCCAAACACATGCGCTATAGGGGAATTGATGAACTAAAGTGGCCATAGTTTATGAGTGTGTGTGAATGAGTGTGTTTGCGTGTTTTCCAGTACTGGGTTGCAGCTGGAAGGGTATCCGCTGTGTAAAACATATGCTGGAATAGCTGGCGGTTCATTCCGCTGTGGCGACCTCTGATAAATAAGGGACTTAGACAAGGTAAATTGAATAAATTTATTACTCTCATTGCTAATGACATTTGGTCCCCACAACATGAACACCAGGACCACACACACACACACACCACCACCACCACCAGCCGTTAAACCCCATTCCTCGTAGCTGAAACCAGGTGCAAAAACCCAACACTTGAAGTCAGATTGAAGTCAGTTTCTGAACTCTCTTCATGAACAAAGCTACGCCTGCATGAGTAGAGAAAATACATCATAAATATATATGTTTGGGTTTTGACACCTTCCTGCTAAACGGTTCCTGGAATAATGGAAATGTACTCAAGGGCGAGTAAACCATGGCTGAATTTTAATTTTAGGGTGAACTATCCCTTTAAGAGCAGCCATAATCTCGATCATATATCTGTAACCGCTCAGCCCAAAACATACTGTGCTACACAGTAAAGAAATGCCGGGTTCCACACAAGTCCGTCATGTTCTCCCAATGTTTTACAAATTTAAGTAGATTGAACAAAACAATAAAGAAATTAGGAACTTTTGTTGGTACAGCTCACTTTAAAGTAGTTTGAGCGAGCAGCAAAAGTCACGAGTGTCATTTAAAAAGTAACGACACCTCATGACTAGGGCCAGACAGAATCTGCGGACGTTTTTTGCTATTTCTGTGGAAAATTTTGGTAAAAATCTGCGGATTTCTGCGGAATTACTTTGGGAGTATCCAGCGGAGTATCATAACTAAAACCTTAATATATTAAATTAAACTATAAAAATTACTGAATAAAAACTGAATTTTTTTTTATTTGATTTACACATTTAATCAAGTAAATAAACAGAATTAATAATGGGCTAAAAAAATCAGCAGAAATCTGCGGAATTCTGCGGAAAATCTTTGGAAAATCTGAGGAATTCTACACGCGCAGATTCCGTGTGGGCCTACTCATGATCATCCTTACAAAAGCATAAGGTAGAGGACAGCGCATGAAATTGTGAAATAATCCTTAATGCACCTTTAAAGGGACAGTGCACCCAAACACCTAAGGGCAAGTAATTCAAGACCGAATATTGACTTTTGGGAGAACTGTCCCTTTAAGAGCAGCACCAATCTTGATTATTTACTTATAACTGTTCAGTCTGAAGTTCGTAAACATTTCACTGTAAAAAATCAGCTGTGTTCAACACCAGTCCATCATGTCGATTAAGCAAACCTGATTTGTAACAGAGGCCGGCTAGCGAAGTGCTGGGCCTCATGGTCTCTTTCAGAGCAACAGACTTCCATGCAAAGAGCTGCAAGATTGATACCAACTCAAACTGGGTTGGGTGCGCTAGGACCGGTGGGTTACACAGGGGGCTCGTCCGGGATGGGAGTGAGGTTTAAGTAGGTGAGTGTAACTGAGGCCAGCTAGCGAAGTGCAGGTAAACAGGGGCGCTGGTGGCAGACACTGGATCACAGACAAAATTGAAGACCAGGGGTGTTGGGAGTGGTTTAATATCGCTGATGAAATTGAAGAGCGGGAGAGGTGGGGTGGGGGTATCGTGGATTAAATTAAAGAGCAGGGCGGGTGGGGGGGCTGGGTGATAATATCGCGGATGAAAGTGATTAGCGGCCAGTGGGGGGGAGGTGGGGAAATATCGCGGATGAAAGTGAAGAGCGGGGTGGGGGGATTTTATGTTGGCGCGGACCCTTGATAATGTTTCCGGGGCCCCCCAAAACGTATGGGTCCTAAGAATCGTCCTAACTTTCACCCCCCCTAGCAGCGCCCCTGCAGGTACACCGCACTCCTCTGACCTCACAAGGTGCTCTAGCGACAGACACTAGAGGCCATGGTCTTAAGCCTCCATGTTACAGCAACAGACTCCCATGCAAAGAATCGCCAGTTCGATCCCAGCTCAGACCGAGTTGGGTGTAGTAGGACCAGTAGGTTACACATGGGGGCTCGTCCGGGATGGGAGTGTAACAGAGGTCAGCTTGCAAAGTGTTATGCAAGAAGGTCGCTGGTTCAAGCCTTGACTGGGTCAGTTGGCATTCTGTGTGGAGTTTGCATGTTCTCCCTGTGTTCGCGTGGGTTTCCTCTGGGTGCTCCGGTTTCCCCCCACAGTCCAAAGACATGCGCTATAGGTGAACTGGGTAGGCGAAATTGTCCATAGTGTTTGAGTGTGAATGAGTGTTTCCCAGAGAGGGGTTGTGGCTAAAAGGGCATCCACTGCGTAAAACATATGCTGGATAAGTTGGTGGTTCATTCCGCTGTGGCAACCACAGATTGATAAAGAGACTAAGCCGAAAATAAAATGAACAAGCAGAACAAAAAGGTAACTCGTGAGTGTTCTTTATGATGCTTCACGCCCATCCTCACAAAGCGTGTCGCACAGTACAGCGCATGATATTGTAATCAGGGATTTGTGAAATCCCGGCGCACACTCGGCCACAGGATCGAGACAGCAGGAGAGCGTATAGTGTGCTTAAAAGTCAGCGGATTGGTTGCGTTGTTTGGAAGTGCAGTCAAATGGGAGCGTGCATTAATAATGCATGCCTGCCTCAAAGAGCTTTCACACAGGAAACACAGACTGGGGTTCAGATCAGGGTAAAGAGAACAGGCCTGGAGAGAGACAGACGGAGGGAAGGAGAGAGAGAAAAAAAAGGATGAGAGCGATGCACGCATTGGAAAAAACAGCAGCAGCAGACATCACTCAGGGTTTATTGGCTTTTATTCCTCACAGTGTTCAGATTGTACTCTTCAGAATTCCCCCATGAAGTTGCTTCATTAATGTTGTTGTTAGTCTCTAATGATTTTATGCTTAATTGATTGAAATTTTGGTTACAAATACATATTTCCAACTGAAACAGAGAATGACAGAGACAAAAAAAAAAAAGTAATTCACTTGCTAGACGGTATATTCATAAGGGGGCGTGGTTAACCCAGACTCTTATTTGATTGGACAAAAATCTGCACGGTGCAGGATGAGTCATCTGCCTTCTTTCTCTCATGAATGTTCATGCTGTGTTCCCACCAGATTATTTGCGCATGAATAGACACCTGAACATTGAGTTTACTCACATCATTCAGGTGTCAAATTCTCTTCAAAATTGATGCAGATTCGCATCATGGGCGAGGCTTCTGTCTGCCCGGCGTCGGTCCAGCTCAGCTGCTAAATGGCTAACATGGATTTCATTGAGAGAATGTGTTTACATGCTTGAAGGCTGAAAAACAACGTAGATTTGTTTGGTGACATGTCTGAGTCCACTAGATGCTTTCAGAGGAGTGCCCAGCTGAGTTCATCAGCTCCTCCAGAAACTATACCTGGATGATGGAGGTTTCCAGCTGTGTAAAATTGCGTGAAGGTCATGTGACCATCAGGAAGAGAAACAACCGAAGCATGTAGACAATACTAAAGAATTTTAGAAATCACACAAAAAAATTTAGGTCCCATAAGGTAACATGTTTTGTTGACTATTTTGTTGACAAACAGAAAAGCATCACTCATGTTTACTGCTTTTTACTTCTAGTTTGTTTGTTTTATTATTTAATGCTGGTATCATTTAGGTTTTTCTGTCGCAATATGTTCAAATATATCTTTTCATAATCTATTTTTTTTAAACATCTCAAGAAAAAGAAAATTGCTGGATGACTACAACTTTTGGTTACAAATGTGTATTAATATTTATAAATATGAAAAAATATATATTTAAATATTTATTGTGGTAGCCAGTTAAGGGTATAGTTGGGGGTGGGGCTTTCTCACTGTAAGAAGCACTTGATTGGACAAAAATCTGCGCAGTGCAGGATAAGTCGTAGTCATTCTTTTTTTCTTGAACTTTTAAGAGAAATATAGCATTTGGATAAAATAAACAATAATAAGGATTTTAAAAAAGAATCACAAAAAATGATGAGGTCTTTAAAGGTAACTTGTTTCATTTCATTATTTAATGTTGGCATCATTCAGGTATATTGAATTCTGTGTTGCAGTATATTTTAAATCTTATTCTGATGTATTTCTCCTAATCTAATCTATTTTTAACACCCCAAAAAAAAAATCGCTCTGTCATGTGTTGCTTAAAAATGCAAAACTCTCCAGGGTGAGATGTAAATATATTTAAATATTTAAACAGTTGCAGCTGGAATTGTGGGTGGGGCTTCCTAATTCTAAGGAGCATTTGATTGGACAAAAATCTGTAGAGTGCAGGATGAGTCATCATCATTCTTTTTCTTGAATCTTTGAGAATACAATAGATGGCTTTCAAGCTATGATAAATAATATAACAAGGTCTTTAACTGTAACTAAAGCTTTGCTTTAGTGCTAAAGTCCGAATTATTCGTCCTCCTAAATTATTAGCCCCCGTTTATTGTTTATTTCCCCCCATTTAATTTCTAATAACTGATTTCTTTTTTCTTTGCCATGATGACAGCACACAATATTTAACTAGATATTTTTCAGGATACTAGTATTCAGCTTAAAGGGTCATTGTATAACAGTGGTTTGTTCTAGAGACAATACAAAACTAATATTGCTTAAGGTGGCTAATAATATTGACCTTAAAATGGCTTTAAAACAATTAAAAACTGCTTTTATCCTAGCCGAAATAAAACAAATCAGACTTTCTCCAGAAGAAAAAATATTATAGGAAATACTGTGAAAAATTCCTGAATCTGTTCAACATCATTTGGGAAATATTTGCAAAAAGAAAAGAAAATTCACAGTAGGGCGAATAATTCTACTATTATAATTCATCCTACAAGATGATCTGGTCCCTTGGTGAACATTCAACGCTGTCGGTGAGTTTTGCGCTTCTGTAACAAACCATCGACCGTTGACTGTACCCTGAGGGTGGCCAAAACACAGCGCATCTCTCGAAACACTTCTGGAAGGAGAAGCATGGGTGTATTAGCCCACTAATGACTGCAATAAACATTCATTGCTGTCGGTGGGTTTCTAATAGACACAACTCACTGATCAATGAATGCAAACTGCGGTGCAAGAACCTCAGTCTACAGATTTCTGAGTAAAAAAGATACCTGAACGGTGTTATAACAACAACAACACGAGGACCAATGAAAGATGAGTTAAGGTAAGTACATTATCTACTCTGTGTCAAAAAACATCTTTTATTATTTAATATATCAGTAAAATGCAACAGTCAGGCTCTGGAAGTAAAAACTTCATTCACTTTCTCTGACCATAACATTCATTTTTAAACAATTTGCTTTCATTTTTCTATTTGCTTTCATTTTGAAACAATATGGATGCAAATAAATTCTTAAAATTTGCAACAACTTATTTTTTTAAAGTTCAAAACGTTAAAAAAAATGTGGGTTTGTGTTTATTAGCTGAATTTAATGTTATTAGAAGTTGTCAAAACTTAAATACATTGATGTGAATGTTGCCTTCTTTATTTTTTCTTAGGTCTTGACAATACTTTTAGAGTCTGTGGAAAACTTCAATTTGAAAATAATGGCAACCAATATAATAAAATATATGTTTGCTGCAATGTTGAATATCGAGGTTTTTACCTTGAAAACTCACATTTATAATTATGGTAATTAAAGTACATAACTCTTAAATTATTCAAATGTTTAATTTAAAAGACAAGTTGGAACAACTTAAATGTTTTAAGCACTCAACTTAAAAAAAATGGGGGGTTGCTTCTTAAAAATACCTCAGATTCAAGAGGAAAAGGTCATTTCTCTAACATAATAAAATTTGTCTACTGAATGTTATTAGAAGTTGTCTTAAATGTATTAATGCTAATGTTGCGCTAACTTCTTTTTTTAGGTCTAAACAGTATTTTTAGAGTCTATGTGAAGCTTTAATTTCTCACAACCAATGAGCTGAAAAAATAAAACAAGCAGGGATTGAGCATCCTAATTTTTGTTTTTTTTGAGTATTCAAGTTAAAAAGAAATGAGAGTTTTGCTACTTAAAAATACATCTGATTGAAGAGGAAATGGTAATTTGTAAGTAACACTATAATAAAGTTTCATATGTTAATAAATTACCAACATGAACTAATTATGAACAATATTTGTACAGCATTTATTAATATTTCAACATTTGCTAATGCATTATCAACATCCAAATTCATGCCTGTTAACTTTAGTTAATGCACCGTGAGTTATCGAACTAATAATGAACTGTATTATCATTAACTAATGTCAACTAATATAAACAAAATGCATTGTTCATAGTTTGTTCATGTTAGCAAATGCATTAACTGACACTAACTGATACAACCTTATTGTAAAGTGTTACCAGTTAGTCTAACATAATATACACTACCTGACAAAAGTCTTGTGGCCTATCCAAGCAAATACTAACTTCACTTCAAGGTGATCAATTGGTGTCAGAAGTGGCTTATATGAAAGGCGAAGGCCTCTAGATGACACTTATTTGACCACAATAGTCTATGATCATGACTTGATGTTGAATGATTTGATGAGGACAGTGCGGTCTGACTCTGCTCAGACTAAAGTGTCATCACTGAACAGAAATAATGTCCAGTATAGAATATAAAGTCCTGCTGCAGTGGAGACAGAATGAATATTGTGTCTGACTCCATCATGAGCTTGGAGGACTGCATCCATACATCTCTGACATGACTCAAATCACTGATTAATAAAGTCATCTGGAGTGAAGAAGAAAGATTTCAGCAGGACTCCCAGAGCTCATCAACAGTCTTTGTGTTCATCTTCAACACCTCCTCCTTCCTCTTACCCCAGACATGCTCAATAATGTTCATGTCTGGTGACTGGGCTGGCCAATCCTGCAGCAGCTTGACCTTCGGGAGCTTTGATGTGGAGGCTGAAGTATGAGCAGGAGCACTATCATGCTGGAGAATTGTCCCTCTCCTGTGGTTTGTAATGTGGAGATCTCTCGCACGCCCCATTACTGAATGTAGCCCCAAACCATGATTTCTCCTTCACCAAACTTGACTGATTTCTGTCAGAATCTTGGTCCATGCTGGTTCCAGTAGGTCTTCTGCAGTATTTGTGATGCAGATCAACAGATGATTCTGAGGAAAAATCTGACACTTTTCCAAATGATCAACTAGAAGTTATTATCTGTTGCTTTTACAAATGAGATCGATGACAAGACTTTAGTCAGATTGTATAGCTTGTTTACTGAACTTTTTTTTAGTAGGTCTGGACAATATTTTAAAAATATTTCAATTTGAAAAAATTCAAAATTAATGAGCTGAAAAATTGAGCAAACACTAATGGATCCCACTGACACTCTTGATCAGAGACAGCAGGTTTACGTTTCAATAATTTAAGCAATATTAGACCAACAGCAGCGCCACAATGCTGAATATATCACGGTAGAGTTCGAGCTGCAGACATGAAGCCGCAGGCCACGCTTCAGGATTGCTACAAGCAAACACATATGCTCCAGTTTTCCAAAACCTCGCCTTGCTTTAGGCAGAATCCCACAAATGTGCTCCCTGTTCCACTTCTGCAGCGCACCGTTCACACACTCGGCTCTGGAAGGTTGTGTAGTTGGATAAATGAGCTGAATAAACACTGTGCAGCCCGGCTATTGCATGCTAAGAGTTTAAAACCCATTAGAAACACTTCAGCAACAGTGTTGGTGCTAATGCAGGTTGCGGCTGGAAGGGCATCCGCTGCGTAAAAACTTGCTGGATAAGTTGGCGGTTCATTCCGCTGTGGCGACCCCAGATTAATAAAGGGACTAAGCCGACAAGAAAATGAATGAATGAATGAAGCTCAACGGCTAATGGACGGCTGATTCTCACTCAGGGCTGCCGTTTATGCTAATGAGGGAGAGATGGACACTAGTGGGCGGGGCTTTCCCCCTCTAATGACATATATATAAAGGGAGAATGTCAATCAAAGTGTTTCAGCAAACAGGTCTGATTATAAAAAATAGACCTGATGAATGTTTCCTATTAGAGACTGGTTATATTCACACACTGCTGACACACAACTGTGTTTAAACCTCCTTATAACAGTGATTTTTGCATAATAGGTCTCCTTTAAATCCACTGCTTTGCCTTGGTCTGCAAGCAGACACAAGAGCGATTCAAAAATGATGAAACAAAGTTGTCAGTGTGCTGCGAGCTGCTAAACAGCACTATATTGTGCGCTCGGTGGGCTGTGCTTTGGCTGACCTCTAAAACTTCTCACCATCCTCGCGCTAAAATAGACCCCGCCTGAAATAGATCACAAAAATCCTCTCCTGTAAAAATAAACACGGAGAAAACAGTGAAAATCTCACACTCGTCCACGCTGAACGCCGGAGAGAAAACGATCTGCATGTTCACTATATCAGTCGAAAAGGCAGTTGTTTGCATCGCCTTGTTCATATTCTGTAAAACAATACAGCTGACATTTCAATCTGTATACGCTGTACGCGTATTTTCATTTTGTTTGCTTTTGTTTTTCTTAAAAATAAACAAACAAAGGAATAAATATTTTAAAACTCAATGTTGTATTCTCCATCATATTGTTAGTATTTTTTATAATTGATTGTTTATTATTATGTATTATTATATGTAAAATGTACAGTATACATGATATTAAGAAAATCTTTTCAGCAATGAGAATTTTAAGAACCATTATTAATGGTTTTCTACAAAAAAATAACCGATCATAAAAGACCAGCATATGTTTTACTGGTGTAGTATATTCTTGAAGAGCCAATTTTCCCTTTTTTTCAGCAGGAAGAGAGATAGAATCATCTGGAAACAATCCCAACGTAATTGCCCTGTTTAGTTTGCTTTACGTGCTGGGAAATTTCTAACACATTGACATTTTCCAGCCAGCCCAAACCAAGCTTTCGTTTCATTTTTTCTTCTCTTCTCTATTTGTCTTTTACAGTGGAAAGTGTCTGAGGTGCAGCAGGGCTACGGCTGCGGCCCATATGGAGCTTTACTATGGAGAGCAGAGTTGAACTGACTCACAGGACTATAATAGCATTAAAAGCCACAGCAGGCAAACAAAACGGAGAACACTGACCACAGGCCTCAGAGAGAGAGCATCCATTTCAATCCACATCAATTCGTCAACCAGAATCTGCTCTTTTTGCTGCAGAAAATTCCAAGTATTCTCATATCAGTTGCATGCGCAGTTTCTTTAAACATACAGAGTAAAAAATACGCGTAAATTAGCAGTTTTCCATATTTTCGGATTCATTTATTTTTTATTTGCATTATTGGTTTTTATTCCAACAACGTTTACCCTTGAAAAGATCTAAAAAGTAACTTTTGTTGACATTTTTAATAGTTTGCAGTGCTATATTGTCTGGGTTGGTGTTGTATAACATGCTATAAAGCCCTTGTAATAAACTGCAGTACATTAACTGTTATTTTACAGACTATATTATTTCCTATACATGCTATTTTTATTTTAAACTACTAAAATGTCAATAAAAGTCCCTTTGTTAAACTGCAGAGTTGAATTTTTAATATCAGAAGGGGATAGAGCAGAGATCAACATCCCATAATGCTGGATAAGTTGGCGGTTCATTCCGCTGTGGCAACCCCGGATTAATAAAGGGACTAAGTCGACAAGAAAATGAATGAATGAATGGAGTGGTAAACTTGTCTGCTAAATAATTCAAATAAATCCTTGACTTCTGCTGTCTTCATTAGTTTCATAAACATTTCATTACAATTTAAAACGGCATCTTTGGATCTTTTTTGTGCTGAAGATACTGTTGTCCTACATGAAAAAAATGCACTGAATCATACACATACCTTGAGAACGGTACTACAGAGAATTTTGGCGGATTTAAAACCTTGATTTTCCAAACCACGTTATACCGTAAAAACGGTTACCATCCCATGCCTAAACCAGGGTGGACATTTCAGCAAGACAACAATCCGAAACACAGTCAAGGAGACTCTCAGATGCTTTCAGGGAATAAAAATCAAGCTGTAGAATGGCCCAGCCAATCACCTGATCCGAATCCAATAGAGAATACTGAATAAAGCTCAGATTTGATAGACGAGACCCACAAAACC